TAATTTACCATGATTTCCTCCACCATTCCTGAATACAAGTGTTCATCTCCAATTCCTGAAGCTTTGAGCTAACTATTCTCCCCTTAGTATTCGCATGGTATACGGCCCACGGTCTTCCAGCAACTCCCATCAACCCCTCCTCCCCCGCCATTAAAGTCGGTTCCACCGATTACTCCACTCTTCCCTCAATCTCCGCTCTTCCCCATCCAACCGAGACTGGTGTCTCTATCATCACTCCTCCCAAAATCACAAAGAAAGTCTTGGAGGAGGCAAAAGCTTTGGGGATCAAGAGTGTGTGGTTGCAGCCTGGAACATATGATGATGAGATTCTAGGATTTGCTTTGAGAGAGTTTGAGGGTGGGGTTGGAGGCGAGGAGGGTGGAACTGTGGGAGGGGAGGGCTGGTGTGTTTTGGTTGATGGAGAGAGAGCTGCTAAGGCTGCTGGTAGAGATTTGAAGTTGTGAGAAGAGGTTAGTTGACCTGGACTATAATGAGGGCGACATCCATTAAACATACTATGTTTATTTCACATGCCATCTTATATTTGAAATATAGATTGGTTCAAAATCAGGAGAGCCCTTAGAAACATCTGTAGGGATAGGTCTCAACTTGGAGTAACTACAATCTTGGCCTGATGCATTCGCGATGTTTAATAATCATATATGGCAAGCCGTCGCCGTTATTTTTCACCATATAACTTAAATGGTGAGTTCCGGCTTCGATAAGAATTACATCCTTCTATAAAATCTACAAAGATGGACATGAATAGCTTCATTCATTTACTTGATTATTCCAAGGGAATGGCGATGAGTCTCTCCATGAAAGCGGTTCCATCTTGACTATAATTCACGAGGGTCAGACATCAGATCTTGGCCTGCAAACTCATCAGGGTACAAAGCTCCAATAACACAGTCTTGTTGCACAAGCTTTGAGATAAGACAGCTTCTCGGTGATACTAGACTTTTAAAGCAAAAGCTTCAATGAGAGCAAGATGTTTATAGTCCAGTCCTTCCTCTTGCATACAAGCACTCCGCATTAAGATACACATCCAGTATCCTTCATTTCTCTATCATAGTTGCGACGAGAAAGTTACTAGGGCAGATGATATATGTTGTCCACCTATACCATCACGATGAGCGGAGTCTATCTCTGAGTACGGCTCTAACAATGCAATATCACTGTCGCCGTTCGAGTTTCCACAAACTTCAATGCAGTAGCTGAATATACACATGAAGCTTATCACCCATCGAACTACATACCCAAAGCTCTGCTTGGTAAGTGAGTAAGGAGTACAGAAGAACGACAATATTGATTGAGAATCGTATCTTGTACTGCATTGTACGTTGTATTCCCGTAACCCCTGAAGCAACAACTGAATCGGGCACATAGCTACCAAGGTCTCGCTATCGAATCATCTGAACGAGTGTACAATTATTAATTAAATGTCTTTCCTACAAATTGGATGTATTGGATCTCTAGTTATTCTTCATAATTCGACAACGATAGAAAGAAAAGGCAATCATAAAATCTCCTCGCAAGTATTGTGAACTTCAAGGGTCAAATGGATCTCGTGATACGAACAATCTTCCTATCCAGTCAACTTTTTCCAAATATGATTTCTGTGTGGCCAATTGTTTATTCCTTCTTTTGTCACGAAATACCTTCTTTCCGTCCCGCGATGAAAATAACCCGATACCGATGGCGAAGATTCATTAATTGGGGGAATATTCAGCTGTGAAGTAAAATTTCCTTTCTTCACTTGTCTTCTCCTTCATTTTTATGGTAACTTTCAACAGACTTCACAAGGTCGTTTTCAATTGAGAATTGTTAATTTAGATTCGCTTTTGCTTCTGGTTTCTTTACCTCTTTTGCTTCTACCCACACGTTCTCTTTCACTTTCGATGAATAGCGACAACAACACAAATCGTAGTGCAACTGACTCAATTTCCTGCTTCTACTCTATCTACTTCATTACTTTCGCGTCTTCAATCCGAATCTCATCATGTCGAACAATGTATCAGTCGAGTCTGGCGATCTAGATAGTGGCGATGATGTTTCCGCCATAATTGCTTCACCTCCTCGACCACTTTCACCACTGGATACAGCATATCAAGGCGCATATGATGCTGAAATGGGTACTGCTATCACAGCTCCAGATAGAGCTGATGAAAATCTTACTCAGCAATTGAGAGGTCCAGAGCCTTCTAATGTTGTATCTTGGGATAGTGATACTGATGCATTGAATCCTATGAATTGGTCTGAGACTAAGAGATGGGCCAATACGGGAGTTATCTCTGTCATGACTTTCTCCACGTAAGTGATTCCCTCCTTCTTTCACTCACATTTGCTAATTCTCTACAGTCCTCTTGCATCCACCATGTTTGCCCCGGGAGTTCCTCTCGTGATGGAAGAATTTCAATCTACGAATACGATTTTACAAACTCTCGTCGTCTCAATCTTTGTCCTCGGTTTTGCTGCCGGTCCCATTGTTGCTGCGCCCATGTCAGAATTGTATGGTCGGAAACCAGTTTATTTGGCTGCCAATTTCTTGTTCTTGATATTCACTCTTGGCTGCGGTTTGTCAACTGGTCTCAACATGCTTATAGTCTTTCGATTTTTGGCAGGTTGTGCTGGAGGAGCACCTACTGCACTCGGCGGCGCAAGTATCGGCGATATGTTCCATCGAGATCAGCGCGGACTCGCAATGGCTCTTTGGGGAATGGGACCTTTGATGGGACCGATAGTCGGACCAATTATAGGAGGTGTACTTGCTGCAAACGCGGGATGGCGATGGGCTTTTTGGTTGGAAGCTATTATTGCCTGTGTGACATTGGTTGGAGGATTTTTTCTCCTGCAAGAAACTTATCCGGTGGTGATCTTGGAGAGAAAGACGAGACGGATTATTAAGGAGACGGGAAATCTGGCGAAAGTATCGGCGCTGCATCATGCAGATACGCCAATGGTGCATTTCACTAATGCTATAGTCCGACCGTTGAAGACGCTATTTCGTTCACCAATCGTCTTTCTCCTCTCCGTATACTATGCCGTTCTTTTCGGATACTTGTATCTCTTTATCACGACATTTCCATTCACCTTTTCCAACCAATATCATTTTTCCGTTTCCCTTACCGGGCTTTCGTATCTGGGTCTTGGGTGCGGGATTGCCATTGGGCTTTTCGTATCGGGAAAAGTCTCGGATCCGATTTTCAAACGCTTGACGGAAAAGAATGGCGGGATTGCCGAACCGGAATATCGATTGCCTACGCTGATGCTGACGAGTCCGCTGATAGCGATTTCGCTTTTCGTTTATGGATGGACGGCGCAAGCGCAGATTCATTGGATTGTGCCGATTATCGGGACGAGCTTCTTTGGGATTGGGATGATTCCTGCTTTTGTACGTCTCTTTTCTCATCCTCTATTCTCCGCTTAGTTCTTCTTTCCCCTATTTTCCATTCCTTGGGAGTAAATAAATAAGCGCGTGCTAATAGTTCAAACCCCAGCTCTCGATAAATATGTACCTAGTTGATAGTTTCCCTACCTACGCCGCGTCGGCGATCGCAGCAACGAAAGTTTTCCAATCGATTGGGGGTGCTTTCTTACCGCTAGCTGGTCAGCCTTTATACTCGGCTTTGGGATTGGGTTGGGGGAATAGTGTGTTGGGATTTATAGCGTTGGCTTTTTTTCCGGTGCCGATATTGTTTTTTAGGTATGGGGGGTGGTTGAGGGAGAGGGGGGTGGTGAAACTTTGAAGGGGTGGGTGGTGGGTGGAGAGATTCTAGGGGAGGAAGGGGAGGAAGGGGAGGGGAGGGTGGAGAGGAGTTGGTAGGATTTGGGTATGTGAGTGAGATGAGATGAAATGATAATATATGGAAATAGGGGAGGAGATAGTATTATAGTATATCAAATTACTATATTGATTTACAAATCAGATCAAAAGTAAAAACCTCATAACAAAAGAGATAATCATAATCCGTACTTATTAATTATACTTGATAATTATATCTACATCTACATCTACATCTGAATCTCCATCTCTCAATTAAGCTCCTCCGTTCACCTCTCGATATTGCTTGTAAGATCTTACGTTTTAGATTTTAGAGGTATCTTGATCCTGGATTTGGGGGTTGGGGTTGAGTTTGAGTTTGGGTTTGAGAGCTGAGATGGGATGGGATGGGATGGGATGAGATGATGGGGTAGGGAGGTAGGTATCTAATATAAAATCTGCTATAAAATTATTTAGTACCTACGATAGTTAGTAAGAGTTCTAGCCCCTGCTCACCGCACATGTAACGCTTTTCCAGCTAAAATATAAGATTATTCACCTTTTTATATCCTAATTTATTTATTATAATAAAAATAAAATCAAAAATTATTTTATAAAAGAATTCATAATTATTGAAATTACTCGAAAAAATATATTATTTATTTTTAAATATTTTTATAATAATGTTTTTAAAGAATTAAAATTGAAATTTCAAAAAAATTCGAAAAGTTCACTTATTTTATATGGGAAAAGCATTATAAGTTAAAAATTCAGAACTTTTTCAATTAAAAGTTTATATAACTTTTTAATAAAAATAATTAAAAATAAATTAGAAATTTTTATATATAGAAAATAAGCTAGATTATCTATTAGCAACTTATTTTAATTTAATATCAAGAATTGTATTAATTATATAATAATTTAATTTATATAACAAAACATAAATTTTGTAGAGATTATATTACAAAACATTATGATGCGCGATGAGTATGTTTGATAACTCTTACTTTGTATAAAAATTACACGAGAATACTGAGGTCACTCACTCACTTCCTTTACAAAAAAATCCCGAATCCGATATCGCAAACAAGAGATGCGGTATCGCTTATTTGGATCGGAGAGGGGTTATCGGTTGATCGGTTGGTCGGATAAGATGTAGGATTGGATGAGGGGGAACTAGATAGGTACGATTGATGCGATTGATGTCATATCTCGGATGGGAAATGAAGATGAAGATATAAATATTGGGTGGTTTTGACTGTGATTGTGATTGTGATTGTGAAAGGATATTGTTATTACCTGGTTGAGTGTTTGTTTGTTATATTATATTATATTATAAGGTTATAAACGGTTGGAGGAATAAGGTTACTGTGTATAGGATTTGAAGATTGATTGGATTTTTGGTTTGGTTTGGTTTGGTTTGGTTTGTTCTATTGGTGATTGAGTAGGTGTTGAGAGAAAGAAAGAAAGAAAGAGACAGGAGTGATATAGTCACCTGAGCAACCAAGGGTTATTGAAATATTGGGTCAATTGGTGAAGGAATTGATTCGTGGATTTCGTCACAGATTGGTAGATCGTTACAGGCGAGATATCTATACTCCCAAGGACGTTTATTTTCTTCAAGCCATTCACAAAGTACCCAAGATGGCTACGTTTGCGTGAGTTTTCCTCTATCCTCTACAATCTTTCACACTAACCTTCAATCCATAGACACAAAACCTTTTCCGCAGCCTCCTACGCCGCATTCCGTCCCTCCTATCCCCAGAGTTTCTATACAAAAACCCTAAACTATCACATCGGGCCACGCTCTACCCTGCTCGATCTAGGATGTGGTCATGGAGTTGTAAGTCGAGCGCTTGCTCCCCATTTCGAAAAAGTGTATGGTACGGATCCCAGCGCGGTAATGATAAATCAAGCGCGCAAAATCGCTTCAGAAAATGATGCAGAGGGAAATATAGAGTGGAGACAAGCGTCAGCGGAAAATCTAGATTTTGTCGAGGATGGGAGTTTGGATATGGTGGTTGCGGGACAGGCGGCGCATTGGTTTGATTTTCCGGGGGTGTGGAGGACGGTGGGCAGGAAATTGAGGGAGGGGGGGACGGTGGCGTTTTGGGGGTATAAGGATAATTTGTTGGTGGATTTTCCCGAGGCGACGGAGGTGTTGGATCGGTTTTGTTATGGGGAGGGGGAGAGGTATATGGGGAGATTTTGGGAACAGCCGGGCAGGGAGAGGTTGAGGGGGTTGTATAGCGATGAGGTGATGAGGCCGTTGGGGGATGTGTTTAAGGATGTGGAATGGGGGAGGTATGAGCCGGGGTTGAAGGGGACGAGGAGTGGAGAGGGAATTAGAGAGGGAGGGGTGGTGATGGGGAGGAGAATGAAGTTGGGGGAGTTGGAGGGGTATTGGAGGACGTTTAGTGCGTTTCATGGGTGGCAGAGGGAGAATCAGGAGAGGAAGAAAAGGGAAGTGGGGGAGGAGGGGAATGGTGATGTGATTGATGAGATGTTTGAGGAGATGTTAAAGGTAGAACCGAAGTTGAGAGGGAAGGAGGGTGAGGATTGGAGGAATGTAGAGGTGGAAACAGAGTGGGGAACAGTGATTCTGTTGGCGAGGAAAAAATAGGAGGGATTGATAGGGGGTGATGAAAATGAGTTCTTCTGGATGAGTCTGAATATAAGATATTGGGTGTAATGCTTCGTGATAGATCAATTCCTCTCCACGAACATCTATATAGAGTGAATGAAGCAGAGTATAATTACTAATTGTTTCTACAATGGCATGTAGTCTTCGTACCCGAGATTCAGTAAATCTCTTCATATCATGACAACAACCTTAATATACCATTTATGTTATCTGAATGGTATTCATCAGTACTCCTGATGACTAGACTCTCCGGTCCATGGAAAGAATACTCATATTATTTGGAATTCGAGATCTCTTCATGATATTATGTAACTTTGAATAGGATTAAAGAATAAACGAATACTTAGTACATACAGATATATGAAGCATCAGACAGAGATATTTTTTACATCGAGGGAACTCGGGATGTCAAAGTATATAAAAACTCTTGATGCCCATCATGTCAATCAAGGGAGACTTTATTGTTTCGTCACTTTTTGATGCAATCTCATCATAGGTAAATTCAAACTTGCAATTACCTTTTGAAACGGCGAGAAATCTATTGAAGAATTGGGATTCTGGTATATAATTTATCTAGTTCAAAGTTTTGAGAAAAAATAATACTACTCACCGGGAGACCCCTCGCTGAGACCCCTTTATACCATTTTCGAATGATTGGGAGGCTGATGATATTGGTTGCCCTGCCAAAATTTAACTTTGGTCCACTATAATTATTATTATGCTGAAGGAACAACACATCGAGAACGAATAAAATACATGAGAGGTTGGCTCGTTGGCTGGCATAAACATAATAATAGGCACGGACCAAAGTTATCAGATTTCTAGACCTACAATCTCTCTTCTTCTAATCATACCTACCTCCTCCATTCACAGATCCTACATTGATATATCTTCAATTTTCATACCACTCGCAAGGAAAACACCCAGAATCACAATCAAAATGGTGAGTTTTCTGATCCCTTGTTTCGATTCCCATGACAAGCTTCCACATGCATTCCATTCCATTCCTTGCTTGAAATGGTGTTCCAATCAATGAGCGTTGCTTCCGATTTGCTGGTTCTCCTTCTGGTTTCTTACTGCCCGCTCATTCTACGGTTGCAAAAGCAATCATGGCCGGGGAGTGTAAACGGCCAGTTTGTGTTTGTTTATTCACCATTCGATCTCTCGGCGCATGATACTACGTCGCGGGAAATCAATACAATTTGTACACCACCATAAGGACATTCATCACATCATATCACACCACATCACTTTACTCTACAACTCTTTCTATTCTCTTTGCAATATCACTCCTGCACTTGTCAAAATGTCATCAACTAATCCTCCATACGATGCGCAGGCCTCCACAAACTACAGAGAAGCATTTCAACTCTTCGATAAACGCGGTACTCAGCGTGTGCAATTGGATCAACTTGGAGATTTGTTGAGAGCGTGTGGTCAGAATCCTACTTTGAATGAGATTAAAGAGTTGGAGAAGAATGTTGGTGGTGAATGTGAGTGTATTTTGTTTGTTATTATGGGTAGGGTTTGAGGATGGTTTCTCGATTTTGATATTCGGCGAATTACTGTCGTGGAGTGTAGAGATCTATGGGGATTCTTTCTACAATCAAACTACAGAGTCTATACTAACAATATGTCTCGCAGTCGATTTCGAAACCTTCTCCAAGATTCTCAACCGACCAGGTGGATTCCGCGACCCAGGTGAACCAGAGGAATATTGTCGTGGTTTCCAGGTTTTCGATAAGGATATGACTGGATTTATCGGAGTCGGACAATTAAGATACATCTTGACGAACTTGGGAGAGAAAATGAGTGATGAGGAGGTTGATGAATTGTTGAAGGCGGTTGATACTAGTAGTGGGGAGATTAACTATACTGGTGAGTTTTTGGGATTCCTTGGAGAAGATATACTGGGAAGGGGGAGACGCAGTGGGACTATGGAAAGCTAATCTAAGGACAATAGATCTCGTACGAACAATCCTCGCAAACTAGATGTTATACTTCGTTGTGGTAGAGGGATGCAAATATTACAGGGAGATGAGCGGAGATGCGATGGGGACAGGCAGAGAGGAGAGTCGGAGATAGACGAGTAAGGAGAGGAACGAAGATATCATAACAGTTGTAGGAATTGCTTTTTCGCGACGGCATAAATAGGAGCTGTGGAGTGGAAGGATACCGTATTGATAATGGCTATGGATGGCTATGGCGTTGAATGAACTTTGAGGCCTGCAAAGGCAGAAATGGATATTATGATTTTTTTTTCTAGATGATATTGAAGTGTGTAGATGTTGATGTGATGTGATGTGATGTGATGAGTTCCATCTCAAGAGAAGGCTGAAGTGTTGAGTTTCGAGGCTGTACTGTACTATTTCTGTGTTTTTCTGTGTTTTTCTGTGTTTTTTGTGTTGTAAATTTGGTTAAATTTAAATGAATATATGAATGAGTATTTCTTTCTTATCTACGTAGATATTTACAATACCATATGATACAATACAACGAAACTTGTGATTTTTTTATATTCACATTTACATTCACACGCATCATATTCTCGATTCGATTGTTTGAAATTTAATTGTTTGGGATTTGATTGTTTGGGATTTGATTATCATATTGATTGGAAAGGAGAGAATTGAGTTTGAGTTTAAGTTTGAAAGTTCACGGGTTCATAAGTTTGGAGAGGGCTTATAAGTTCGGAGGCTTATAAGTTCGCAAGTTCGCAAGTTCAGAAGTTCACGATCGATTCGGAAGCTCAGGATTCAGAAGCTCACGAGTTCGCAAGTTCATAAGTTCACAATCGCACAATCGCACAATCGCACATCGCACAATGTCTCCCCTCAACATTAATACGTATCATTGCGCTTACTGTACGAATCTTCTATTGGCGACAACGCATACGATTTCGACGCTTCCGAAGAGGAAAGGGACGGGAGATGGGAGTTTTATTTTGCCGGTTTCGGGGGTGGTGCCTAGGTTTGGAGGGGAGAGGGAGAGGGAGAGAAATGGGGATGGGGATGGGGATGCGATGGATGGGATATCTGCGGAAGATGGAGAGGGGAGGGAAGGAGAGAGGGAGGATGGAGAGGACGTGAAGGATGGTGATGAGCAGGATTCATTACCAAGTTATGGGTATACCAATCTTCTTGCACTTACGAAACCTAGTAAGCAGGTGATTGTACGGAAGGAAGATGGGTTTGAGAAGAGAGGAGTGTGGAAATGTGGACGGTGTGCGGTGGCGGTTGGGTATGAAGTTTGGGCGGAGGGGAATGGGGGTGCCAAGGGGAAGGGAGTCGAAGGGGAGGGGGAGGGGCAGGGGGAGGGGGGGTTCGAAGGAAAGATTTTGTATTTGTTGAGGGGGTCGGTGATGAGTACGGCGGTTTTGAGGAGTGGGAAGAAGGGGATGGAAGGGGATGCTGAGGTTCTTGGGACGGGGGTGGGAGTTTGGGAGTGAGAATGGGGGAGGAGGAGGAGGAGGAGGAGGATGAGGAGAGGGTGTTGGAGATTGTGTTGTTGGGGAGATTGTGTTGTTGGGGAGATTATATTGTATGGGAGGGAGGGAATGTTTATATGGATTATAGAATGATGGCTATTGATATACCATAGATGGAAATAGAGGAAAGCTGGAGGTTCCAATTGACTTCTAGATAGTAAAGACGTTGATTCACTTGTTACTTGCCATGTCAAACTACCTGGATACCCCATATTTCCGGGTATGAATAACCCTTGCTTTCCGCATTCATAGGCTCATAGCATAGCATACTCGCATACTAGGTAGGTACGTACACCAGTACCATACGACCCTGAATTTTGATCTGATAAGCTGATACTCCCTCGAGACTCCCTATTTGTAGGAGAAAAAACAGGCGGAATTTGATCATTTCTAAGATATCCTTTACAATTCAATTATTTCCCTTCAATATTATAAAAAATAAAATTTCGAAATATTTTCTGAACAATAAAAAGCTGATATTTCTTTTGATTTCTTTAAATTTATATAAATCATTTATAAATTATTTTTTATTCAATTAAGTTAGAAGATTTCAATGAAAAATTGAATTGTCAAATTCCGCCTGTTTTTTCTCCTACGAATAGACTCCGTCAAGAATTCATTTGCCCCTCCACCACTCTTAGGTATCTTTCAAAAATCCATCTTGAGTACTTTTTGATTCGCTCAAGGTTATAAATAAGTATATACACTCACACACTCACTCATTCACTCACTCCTGACTCAATACATTCATTGTATCCACCACCCAAAGCTACCCACGCTCCCACGCTCCCACGCTCCCACGCTCCCACGCTCCCACGCTCCCACGCTCCCACGCTCCCACGCTCCCACGCTCCCACGCTCCCACACCACACTCCCTTCCCCACCAACATATCTGTCATACCTTCCATTCTTGACAGCTCTTAAACGCCTAATTAACCACCAAGGGATTCTAATACCCAACCAACTTCATCCATCCTGGCTTCCATCACACGTATCATACGTTCCCTCTGTGTACTACTGCTCATCTTTCTTTCCATATCTGTCATTCTGGCTACCTCAAGGATTGGACCCAGACTGGGAGCTTTATTTAGTCAACTCAGACCTACAAATACAAGACCCCTCTGGTCCCCTCTCGCAACCACCATCAATCCAACCTCAACACGTCTCATCACCACCGCAACCATGGCACCTTCTCAATATCAAAAGCCTCCTCAGGCTCCTCCTCTCTTTACCCACACCGAATCCCAGATTGTCGACGAGGCAAAGGCCTTGATGGATAACTATCGAAAAATGCTCGACGATATCGTGGCCAACGTCAAACCGGAAGATGCAACATTCGCAAATGTTCTCTTGCCTACCGCCAACCAAGATGATCTTGATTCGCTTCAAATCAGCGTGCTTACCTTCTACCAAGCTGTGTCTGGCGATTCGAAACTCCGCGATGCGAGTTCGAAAGCGGAGGAAATCATGGATGAAGCGCAGATTGAGATGGCGATGAGAGAAGATGTTTTTAAATTGGTCGATGCGGTTTACAAGAAGAAAGAAGATTTGGATCCGGAATCGAAGAGACTGTTGGAGAAGGAATACAAAGGATATATTAGAAATGGACTGGGGCTTGAGAAGGGTGAGAAGAGGGATAGATTCAAGGAGATTAGCAAGAGGTTGGCTGCTATTGCGACTAAATTCCAGAAGAATTTGAATGAGGAGGATGAAGGAATTTGGTTCACATTAAAGGAACTTGATGGAGTTCCTGAGGATGTCATCTCGGGATTGAAGAAGGGTGAGGGCGAAAATGAGGGAAAGTTGAGGTTGTCGTTCAAATACCCTGATTTGTTTCCCACGTTGAAGTTCGCGAAGGATGCGGAAACCAGGAAACAAGTCTTTATTCAGAATGAGAACAAATGCAAAGAGAATGTAGAATTGTTCAAGGAAGCTATTGTTCTTAGAGATGAGGCTGCTAGGTTATTGGGTTATCCTGATCATGCAAGCTTCAGGATTGAGGATAAGATGGCGAAGACTCCTGCTACGGTTAATGAGTTTTTGCATGATTTGAAGCTTCAGCTTACTCCAGGTGGAGCTAAGGAAGTCGAACATCTCAAAGCTCTCAAGAAACAAGATTTGGATGCTAGAGGATTGAGTTCGACATTTGATGACAATTATTATCTTTGGGATAATCGATTCTATGATCGAATGATGGTGGAGAATGAGTTTTCTATCGATGAAAATAAGATTGCGGAATACTTCCCTCTTCAATCTACAATCGAAGGAATGCTTAAGATCTTCGAAGAGTTGTTTGGATTCGTCTTTGTCGATATTAGCAGCGAGGAGGAATTGGCTAAGGTTTCACCAACTGGAAAGGGTTCTGATGTTTTACCTCATCCAGATGCCAAACTCTTTACCGTTTGGGATGATGAAGGTGAAGGTAGTGGGTTTGTTGGTTATCTTTACTTGGACTTGCATCCACGTCCAGGAAAATATGGCCATGCTGCAAACTTTGGCATTCAATCCGGTTTCTACTATCCAGATGGTACAAGAAGATATCCGGCTACAGCACTCGTTTGCAATTTCTCCAAACCAACTGATAAGAAACCATCACTCTTGAAACATGATGAGGTTGTTACCCTTTTCCACGAATTGGGTCATGGTATCCATGATCTAGCTGGTCGTACTAGATACTCTCGTTTCCACGGTACAAATACCGTACGTGACTTTGTCGAAGCACCAAGTCAAATGTTGGAAAATTGGTGTTGGACTCCAAGTCAATTGCAAAAATTGAGTAAACATTACATCACTGGTGAATCTATTCCAGATGATTTAATTGCCAAACAAATTAGCACCAAGCATGTCAACGGCGCTCTTTTCAATCTCCGTCAACTCCACTTTGGTATCTTCGATATGACAGTTCATACTCCTAAGAACCACGCAGAAGCTGAAGCTTTCAAAATCAGCGAATTGTATAATGAGCTTAGGGCAGAAATCTGTGGTCTCAAAGGTCCAGAAGCTCTGGGTGCAAAGAGTGATTGGGGCAATGGTCAAGCTACTTTTGGTCATTTGATTGGTGGGTATGATGCAGGTTATTATGGATACTTGTCTAGTCAAGTCTATAGTGCAGATATGTTCTACACAGTTTTCGAAAAGAATCCAATGGATCCTAAGGAGGGAAGGAGATATAGACATATGGTGCTTGAGAAGGGTGGTAGTCAGGATGAAATGACTACGTTGGAGGCGTTCTTGGGAAGGAAACCTAGTACCGAGGCGTTTTATAGGGAGTTGGGGTTGAAGGATGCGAAGAAGAATTAGAGGTGGGAACGTGAAGAGGTGAAGGATGGTGATAGGGGGTAGCATTGCATATGTGATTTAGAGTGGGAAGATCAAGGAAGGCAGGGAGGCAGGGAGGGTTATGATAGTTAGTTGCTGCGAAATAGTTTGTTACTATGTGAGTAAACCATGAGACTCCGGATGGGAAAATGAGAATATATCAGATGATTTTTTTGATTTGGGTTTTTGAGGTTTTGAGATTTTGAGATTATTATAAAGAATAAAATTGATGATGTGAAAAAGTTTTCAGAATACTGTATACTGTATCCTAACCCTGGATATTAAACTCCCAATTGATTGTCATCTCTCAATCTCATATATTGTATCATATCATATATATATATATATATCATATCATCTAATACTTACAAAGTGTTTAAAGATTTTATTATTACACAGTAGGTAAATAATAATAAAAAACTAACGAATCCCAATTCCAACATTCTAATTCTGATTAGTTTTATCCCCTTAGGTGCGTCAAATGGGCTCCGAAGGTGGTCTATACGATATACCTTGAATAATAAAGCCTTATTAAATAGAATAGCTATTTTAATGATTTTTCAGTTATATTATTTATAATATAGAATCTTAACTTTCATTTTCGATTTTTTTAAATTTAAAAAATCCTAAAGATTGAAAATTAATATATGTTATTTATTATTATATTCGAAATTTCAATAAAAAAACAATATTGATTGATTTTTATATTAAAGATTGAGTTTGAAAATTGAATTAAATCAAGGAATTTTGATGATCTGATTGGTTGATATGTTTATGTTAAGTGATGGAGTCTATTTAATATATCTAAGGGGATACTTTATTCAATCTCGTGATGTGATACCAAGAATACAAGCCCCATAGATGTCAGATTAAAGCTTGGCCTTAAGGCAGTTTATTATCAGTCCTATGCTCCTACTGAAATACTTGTTCATCATTAGAAGCTTCATTCGCTCGAAGCGCGGGAATGGACGCTTAAAGTTAAGCTTAGTAGTTTTTCGTCTTCGACTTTTTGAATCGATATTGCGAATTTTTTTCGACGTAGTTTGTTAGTATTGTTTGTTTTTGTTTGGAGATCTTGAAATAGAGTGGATTGGATATACGATGGAACGCGTGGGTTATTGGATGACAATGTCAGATTGTTTGATGTTGGTAAAGTTCTGTGGAGACAGCGATGTTATATATTTTTTGGTGGAGCAAGATCTTCTTTTTTAGGGTTTTAATATACTTATTGATGCAAATGTAAATAGAAATAGCTTCAGATGAAAGATAGAAAGTCTTGTTTTACTTTATTTCTCCTTATTGCTGCATCCACATTCCCATATCTTCTAACTACATTTCGACTTTTATAAAAGTACCATCAAGATGCATTTCACATATCCCCTCCTCTATTTCCTCTTCCTCAACGTAACCACCGCCCACCAAATCTCCTATTCATTCCGAACCCAAAAGTAATAAAACGAACCCGACAATGCAGACTTACAAGTCAACATCCACCCTGAAGCCGCCATGTTCTCGAGCCCATGGTGAAATTCGTCAAGGATATACAAGTCAATCTAGATTTCATCACATACAAAGATCCTGAGATCCAACGAGAAGCTAGTGATCTCTTATTATATGGAGCTGATTCCCTTCATCAGATGATCCCATCTTTATCTTTGGACCACGCGAATAAACTTCTCCAAGCTGTGTTTGCGGCTGAATAGGTATGCAAGGGTTGTTGATCAAGTTGAGAACCTCGCTCTCTTTTCTCTTGCGAATAGACTTTTGGAGAAAGAATCCGATAAGGATACTTGTCCCAAGACTACTACAGGTGATGAACATGGAATGGTTATGGTTGGTAAGTGATCAATATCATATCCACTCGAGAAGAGATTTTCAGGATTTAACGAGAAATAGATTGTCCTGATCCTCTTTGCAAGACGACAAATCTGTAGCTATGGCGTTCTTTGGGGACAAACAATGACAAAACTCGAGTTTTCACTACAGAGGGGGCCATCGCATGCTTCACAATCATGCGATCGCTCATGAATCTCATTATCTGATTGGTTTGCAAAGTTACTCGAATAGATCATTCTACACTCACCTCAGTTCGGAACAATCAACAGAATCATTTGTCACGATTATGTGCTAGAGAGTAGAGATAGAGTGCTCTTGCTGTTTTATCATTATTAGAGATTTCATTAACGAAATGAAAAATCGATCCGAACGCACTCTGATATCTAGAATACTTCAAATCCAACATACTAATTATCGGAATGATATATTGGTTATTCTGAAATCATAAAATCTAGCTGCAGATGTGTTAAAAAAATTAAAAGTGAGATTTAAGGTTTAACTGATATGCGTTTTTTTACATTACACGACCGCTTATACCGACTAGGAGTCGGAGGCTTCGTGAATCGAGATCCTCGCTTACTACTCGACGATTACATGCTGTTTATTACTCATGAAACTTAAATATGAAGTCCAGTATCCGATGAATTCCTTTTACATCGACTATATGTATTAGAGTCTACTCATTCATTCATCTCATCCACCTCATTCATTATCTCTGTCTCCCCAAGATTTGTTCCTGCTCGGCTAATGTCACAATGCGTCTATCAAGCTTCATCAAATGTCTTCTCGTCGCCTCTGTGGCCGACCGAGTCTCGACCACTTCTGCTCTCAGTCCGGACAAAATCGCTCTCTACCTCGGTGTCCACGCTGATGATGCCAATGAGCTGATGAACACCAATGACTACGTAAATATCGATTCGACCAGTTGTTTGCCACCTTTAATCAGTCTGCCGGAACTGTGGCAGCGTGGTCCCCAGTGACCAAGGAAAGCGTATACTCGGTGATGCAGGAACTTCTCAATCTCGAGAACATATCCGAAAAGCGACTCAATCCAGCTCAAAGCTCGGGTGACGCACAAGTCAGCAGCAAAGAGGCGGTTATTAAGATAAAGCTTAATGTCGCTGAAGTCGCAGATAAAGCGTCTGTTTATCGGAAGTCACTTGTGTGCTCTGTGTTGCTGCGGCCGTGGCAGCTGCAACTGGTCCGATTTCGTCATGTGCAAGCACAGCTTATATTGCAATAGCTGCGACTGCACGCGGAAAAGCAGGAGCCACCATTCCAGCCATCGTCATGATTTTTTTGCGTGTGCTTCACTGTTCCTAGTAAGCGGTCTCGGTGCGGCCGATGGTGGTTAGGAGAGTCTGGATCCACTGTCATCGATCAATAGAAATACAGTGTAAGTTCGTCCCAATATTCCTATCAAGCACTCTAGTATTCAATTATGGTGGCGGTAAAAGTGTGCCTTAAAAGCTAGTTTTTCTTGGTTATCGTTTTGAGCTTGACTTGTGGATTTTCCAAGGATTTTGCTGATAAACCTAAAAGTATCCAAGTCAGCCTTTTCAAGGACACTTTGAACATGCATACTTGGGTAGACTCTAGATTTTGCTGGTAGTGGCACACAAGCTCTATTCTTCTTTCTTCATTATATCTTAGATACCCGTATAGTAAATACCATTCTATACCCGTCATCTACTACTATCATGCGACTACTACGTGGAAATGATGACTGCCCACAGTACTAACGGTTGAAATTGTGTACCAGCTTGTGATATAACCACGGCTCTGGTTCGTTGTGCCTCAAAACCTTGATGTTTTTGATTGTAGATATGGTTTCATCGTAACTACTCTAGAATTGTTTCATTGATTTAAAACCATGCTTCAAAATGGCCACTTCTTTCGATCTGGTAAGAAAACTTCAGGTTTTTGTCGAAAATCAACACCAGCATTTATTTGCCGTCGAAGTTAGAGTGGACATGCGCTTGTTGTCAAACGATCTCAGGTCACCTCTCTTTTGGGTAGGTAAGAATTAGGTCACCGAGACGGATAGGAAAGGTCGGGCCCATCACTTGACTGTTGCGACAAAATCTAATTAGCGCTTTGAAGGGAGAAAATATATGAAGATGGAGTCGATCTCGATCATGCTTTAGATCTACGGTCGATTCAATATCGGACTCTCTCAGCCATAAAAATCAAAATAAATTCTCCGCCCTTTCCCTATGGTTATGTGTGACGTGAACGATCCTTCAGTTTCTCTAGCATTGTAAAGGAGACAAACAAACCTGGTCTGCAGTATCGCTATGGTTCTATGAGTCAGTAGGATTAGAAAATTCTGCTACTCCCTTCACGTATTGTTTTCTAAATATTTGTTACCGCCATCATACTTTGGGGAAACTAATGAATTGAGCCAGAATTATCCTTTAAAGGAAGAATCTCTTCATCTGTTCATCTCTTATATAATAAAAGATCGCTTAATGTGATTTTTTACGACTCTATATACCCCAAAACAGATCAAAATTCAGGATTTTTAATAGTCTACTTTTAAGGATTAAATATCGTTTCAAGTAGAAGAAAACTTTAATTGAAAAATTTGAACTTCGATAAAACCTTCTAGTAAAAAGGAAATCTTGAAATAGTTAATAGTGTTTAAAACATAGGAAAATTATAGATAAGAATTATTACTTTTACTAAATTTCAAGATCGAATAAAGTAGATCTCGAAAAAAGTAATAAAATCATTTTTTAGAAATACTTCTTAGAAATATTTAGATAATGATTAGACTTTATACTACTTGATATATATACAATATACGACCAACGTCTATAATATATACTAAAAAGTCAAATTTTATTACTATTTGTTCTAAAAAGACTATATAGATTACATTGTTCCGGGGTTCAACCTCTCACGTGATCGTAAGCGAACATGTCAATTAAAGATCGAAGTAATGTTTAGCTATATGTTGGACTGTGTAATCGGGGGTTTATATTTATTCATTTCCTTATTTACAATAAGGGGGCCTTAGCAATTCGTCAATTTTTCAGCAATTTGTAACTTTTGATAATAATTCTTATAGTTTTGATTTTTTTGATAATACAAATAAATATTTCTAATTAGATTGAATTAATAATTATTTTATATATTTCAGAATATCTTCATTTTTTGTAAATGAAAAGTTAGAAAAAATTGATTCTATTTATTAGGAAAGTTTTATATCAAAAAAAAACTTAATGAATTATTGAAAAATTAACGAATTGTTAAGGCCCTCTCATTAATATAATGAGGGGTGAAAGGAAATATAACCCCCGATTAGTGTATCTTTATTAGCAAACAAGGCATATCTAAAGGAGTTCAGAACTTCACATTGAAATTTAGCGGCTGATCCAATCACATATCTATCGCAGGTGATTCGAAGAAACTATATTGGTTTGCGTGAATCAGCCCTAACAGAATTTAGCCGTACAAAGTCCACGCCATATTGAAAAGTTCTACTACCGTAGACACAAAGTAGACGAATACTCTTCACTAACCATTCATAATACAGCCATCTAGTATCCTCTCTCTATGAACTTCCAACCGTACAACCGTAGCTATAATCACTAGTCTGTAGTTCCTGTACAAAAAGATTCTCCTAAACGCTCATAAACCTTCTTCTTTCCATTTCAAATCTTCTCAAGAACATTATCTTCACAACGCAAATAATTTACAAAAATCAAACTAAAAAATCTTCTCGAGAAGGCATCTTCTTACCCAATCTATATTATCAAAAATCGAAACAATCAACATGTCTCAAGCAGACGGTCCCACTCTTAAAGCCATCTTCAACACGGGATTTGCTGTCACACAAGCAATATCCAAGAAATTATCTTCATCTGAACTTCAACCTCAAAATCAAATGTCGATCTTCTCTTCAACTCCTGGTCTTCCCACTGATCTTGCAACTCCACGTCCCAAGAGAACAAAGCTCCCAGGCCCCGCAACACAACTTCTCAATGAACTGTTCGACGAAGTGGATGAAATTGAAGCAGTCGAGTCAATCGAAGATTCTACCTATGTTGATGTTGACCATGCGCGCAAGAGAGCTGGTAGACTGAGACTTAGACCTAGACCTAGAATCGAAACATCTTTCAAGAGCAAGTCATCGGATGGTCCAAATCAATCAGCGGGTTCTTCCGATTTTTTTATGAATTCCTCAGTCGATTATTCACATCTCACTGTAAGTCCTGAAGAGGATCTTCAAAAGCTCGCAGACAGATTCGGAGAGATTCAATCTAGGAATAAACAAATCATCGAAGCTGACGACGATGCTATCTGGAAATCTCTTCCAGATCTGAATACCGGATCCTTTTCACGTTACGCTAAACTTCGAGGCTCTGCTAAAGCCTATGAGAAAGAGTTTCAAGATGCTTTGAAGAAGGAAAAAGATATTTATGAATCTACACCTGGATTCATCAAAAAGCAGATGCCTGGTTTGAGTGCGACTGATATGCGCAAACAAATTCCGAGATTGATCAATGCTGAAGCAGAATATGAATTTGATGAGGAGGATGAAGATGAGAAACACGCAATTGAGATTCTCGAGGCACTTTTCAAGGAGTTGGCAGAGAGAGAGGCTAGCACTAACAAGAATGAATGGAAGAGTGTCAAACAGATCATTGAGGGTGTGGAAAATAAGGGCAAGAATGATGGGGAAGAACAAGCCGTTGCGATTAAAGATATGGATCGTAGATCTGAGATGAACCATAGTGCTCGCCAGGATACCCATAAATCTCGCGAAATCAACATCTTTTCAGATTTCGCCGAAGAAACAGACGATGAAATTCGACATTACTCTGCCATAACCCAACAACATATTAAAGACGGATGTAAAGTTAGGGGACTTGATCAGATAATCGAGAAAGATGAGGAGCAACCAGTACAACCGCAACAACCAAGTCAAGTCGAACCAGAAATCACTCCTTCCCCAGAACTCGAAGAAAAGAACAAGCAAGAAATCACAGAACCGCAACAAAATGTGTGCGAAGTTTCTCCCGTGATGGAACCTCCCAAAGTCAATAAAAAGGAGACAATTCCACAGGAACAGCCCGATATAGAAGGAAGTGAGTAGTTTCCATTACAACAACAAACATGAGGCCGACACTAACTAATAAGACACAAAGGAAGATGAAGACTCTCAAAACTCTTCACAAAACCACGATAATCCTGAAAGTCAAAATCTGGATATCGATATTTACAAACATATCGATGAAGCAACTAGTGCTAGTTCTAGTGCCATTTCGTATTCTACTTCTTCTATTGATGGGAGCGCTTCAGAGGAGGAAGATGAGATGCAACTTGGTATGGCGGCGCTGGCTACGGGGGTTATGATTACTGCGCTGTGGATGATTGAAAGGAAGACGGCAGCAGTTTGTTAGGGATTGGTTATTTGATTTCAGTTTGCGTTCTTTTTAGTAGATATTTCTGTCTTTGTTTTGCGGGGCATTCGTACTTTGGAGCGATTGACTGTTTGATTGATGTAGTACAACCAACACCGATATTCGAGTAATGTTTCCAATGATTTTTAAAATATAAATTATAAAATCTTACGAGAAACAATAATATATAATTATATCTAAGAATGTAAATGAAATCTTATCTTCACTTATGAATACCAAAACCGTGACCAAAACAAACGAGATAATTTTCGGCTAGAAAATGATTACGCGATCCCTTTTTTCACTTCTCAAGCCTCACCTCAAAGTGCTTAATAAATCTCATTTTTGGTACAGAAAATATATTTCAGTCAATCCAGTAAAGATTTATGTTGCAATACTACTCATCTGGAAAATTAAGCGCAGTGTGAGAGCACTTCAAAAATCCCCAATCTCAGATACAAATGAAATAAGTACACTGACGTTATTAAGCTCGCTGGTGCCGACTCAACATTATCCCAAAAGAAGAACATACATATATACATTTTCGTAATTGAATGATCATTATAACATACCAAAATCGTAGCAAAATAGAATGTCTTAAAACCACAGACTTTTTTTACAATGTCTCATTTCCATGACTTAGAACACTATTGAGGTTCAAGAATCCACGTTTGATTCCCACTCTTTGGAGAACTAGATGTCTAGCATCTCTATTGAGTAAGTAGCTGTAAATCTTCAGTACAGCACAATTCATATTTTCCACCCATAGATTTCCATCAAAACAATCCAAAACATGCTGTATAAATTATCAACCGTACAAAAAGCAATCCGTACGGCCCGATCTTGTCTTTCTGCTCATCATGCTCGCCAATCCAAAACGTCATCATCAGAATATCCTCCATACCAACTGTAGAAACCGTATCAATAATACTAGCGTTTTCTAAACACTTGCTTGCTGTATGAAGACCTTCTGAGATGTTTAAATACCTGCATCTTGACGGAGAGACTCGGTCTTTCTTTTTATCTATATAATACTTTCATAAGACTACTTTGATACTTCAACGACTTTAGCAACTTCAACAACTTCAACAGCCCCAATAACTTCCAAACAACAATTTCTTAACGAAATCAACATCTTCTCAATACCTACACCTCAATTCCCACCACATTTTCACACCCCACCACAAGACTTTTATTCCTAAGTGTAACTCTACACTTACTCGTCTTCATCCACTCGAAACTTCCAAAATCACTCCATCCAACTCCAATCCCCCACAATGTCATCACCAAGCTCCAGCACCCCCCTAGAAATCTCCACCCCAACATCTCCCTCCAATCTCCAAGACGATTTCGCACAAACCAAAGAAGATTTCGACGTCTCTTCTATCCCAGACTCCGATTCCGAAGATGAAAGTACGATTTATGATCAAACATCGGAAAAGGGAAAGAAGGTTGAGGAATCTGCAGATGGTGAGATCGTTTATGATACTTCTATTGCAGATGAGATGGGAGATGAGGGACGAGATGATGAGGGCTTGGAGGATAATACGATAGTTCAGTCTGTGATCTTGAGTAGATTCTCGACTCCGACTACTGATGAGTTGATGGGGTATATTATTGATACTGATCTTTTGGGAGTTGGTAGCAAGGAAGTTGGCAAGGAGCCTCTGACTACCTATCATCAAAAATTAGAAGAGCTCGCGAGAATCCGAGCAGTGATTACTCGAAGCCGAATTCCTGATACTCATCAGATAACCCGAAACTATACATCTGCACTCGCAGTAGCACCAATTTCTCTAGAAGTTCAAAACTCCACAACTCACCTCCCACCAGGCACGCCTCTTATCCGGGATTTTGCAGTTGCTCCATTGCCCTGCATGTCCAATCCTCACAATCCTTACACCCTCTCAACCCCGCAAGTCCTACGCGGGACGGATGTCCTGAAATACCGAACTCTACAATCATGTACATATCCCTCAACTGGTATCCGCACTATGTATCATTATCACGGGGTTCTTTTTCGCCATGCAGTGAATGGTATTCACGCACCCTCTGATAAGAAAGAAGAGGAAGAGGAAGAAAAAGAACTGGATCGTGAATTATCTGCAGGAGAAGAAGCGGATGATGAGGAATATATGTATATATCTACACCCGAACCTGTAATTCCACGTGCTCCTGTTTTAGGGAATCGAAATGTGGGGGATTTGGTGAAGATTGAGGAGATAGAGGAGATAGAGGACATTGAGGAATCAAAGGACGAGAAACTTTTCCAGATTCTTCCTAGCAATCTCGAGAAGTCACGACAACCAAAGGAGGACAATCTCAAGGACTCAGAAATCAATATCTCAAATCCCCCCACCATCATCTCCCCCCTCACCATCCACAAACAACATCCACAACCCTACCAACTCCCCCGCATCAACGCCTGGCCCCTTCTAGCCCTCACCTATCACATCCCCATCTTCCCCACACACATGCTCACCTCCACCTCTCTTACCCAACTCTCCCTCTGTGAAAAATCCCTCCAGCAGCAAAACGGATACTCCGATTCCCCACTCGATCAATGGGCGCTAACCCAACATCGAATATTTCTCTGGATCAATTCCGGCGCGTTAGAAAATGGTATTGAGGGGGAGATGCGACGATTAGGGAGTGCGGATGCGTTGCTTGGGGAGGAGAGTAGCGAGATGTGGGATTATGAGGATGTGGAGGTGTTTGCGAGGTGGGAGGGGGATACTTTTAGGAGGTGTTTGGAGTGGGTGCAGGATGTGGAAGGGGTTGGGGAGAGGGAGGGAAAAGAATGGGGAGGCGTGGGTTTGGAGAATGAGGTGTATGATTTTTGTGGGGAGGAAGAGATTTTGCATCGGTCGGCGAGTATAGCTAGTAAGGAGAAGAATCACAAGGGCTCATCATCATCTTCATACATCTCGGAAGAATACGATGCCGAAGACGAGCGAGGCGAAATCAGATCTGCACAGCCTTCATTTCCCCTCCCAAAACAAATCGAAAACGCAGATTACGATCCCCGACTTGGCAGAGTGGTGAATATATTCCGCACACGGACTCTCCACCGTTTAGGAATCACTTCTCAGAATTCCCCCTTTCGCCAACCGATTAATCATACCGCGTTTCGGGAAACGGGGATTCAGGCTGCGGATTATGCGCGTGCGAATGCGATGACGAGGTTTGAGAGGGTGGCGGAGGATTTTGCGAGGAGGGAGGGAGGAGCGAGGGAGGGAGGAGCGAGGGAGGGAGGAGTGGGGGAGCGGGAGGATTCTGTGGGACAGGCTGAGCAAGCGGGATGGAGTGAGAATAGAGATTCGAGATTTGATAGCGCGGAGGTGCATATGAGAGGTGGTGCGGGATCTGAGGATTCGGGGAAGGAATCGATTGATGAATCTTTTCCTACTGGATCCAAGTCTCGGAGTCCACTTTTTCCCAGTGCTAGCGATTTTAAAGCAAGCCCCTCACTTCTTTGTCCGCATCTCTAAGCCCAAATCGATAACACCAAAATCAAAATCCCACCTCACCCTCCATCATCCACGCTATTAAAACCCTCAACCAAAAATTGCAAATTCATTCCACCACACCCAAACTTCTCATTCGCGCCGTAATCAGCCTCCCAAATCTCATCAGAAATCTTCTTCCAGTCCTTGCACCATCACCTCTCCCTCCAACCTCCCCCACACCCACCCACCCCCTCATGTCACCCCCTCCAAAATCCCCACCCTCCACAAACTCTTCACAAGCTCTGCTCTACTCCGCACCATATAAACATATCCGCACCCCACTGCGCGCCGAAAACCCAAATCCAAATCCAAATCCAAATCCAAATCCAAATCCAAATCCAAATCCAAATCCAAATCCAAATCCAAATCCAAATCCAAAAATAAAAATAAAAACAAACAAACAAGCAAACCAACAAAAAAACAAGCCGAGCTTTGAAAACCAATATATCTATAAAATAAAAATAAAAATAATAACAACTCGAGTTATTGAGAGTGCGAGAGTAGAGGTTGAAGAACAAGCAGAAGAGTTGGGGGTATGAGAGGAAGGTGTATGATGGTTATGAATGATAAGAATAAGAATAGCTATATAGATATATGGTGGGAGAGGAGAGGAGAGGAGAGGAGAGGAGAGGAGAGGAGAGGAGAGGAGAGGAGAGGAGAGGAGAGGAGAGGAGAGGAAACAGGAGAGGAAAGAAGTAGGATAGATGGATGGATGGATGAATGGATGGGATGGGATGGATGGGTAGTATTATAATAGGATATGAATCTATAATTTTGTATGTTTATATAGGTATATATATATATAAGATCTTATATACATATATACATATATACATATATACATATATACATATATACATATATACATATATATATACCAAAATATTTCCGGATATTAGGTTTATAATCTTAACTGACTATTTTATATACATATATTTTTTTAAAAAAAAAATCTAAATGAAAAATTGATTAATTGATTAATCTATAAATCTATAAATCTGAGTTAATAATGATGCATTGGAATACTAGGTAGTTAACCTTATAGCGAGAAAGTGAGTTAGTTAGGTATGTTGTTGTATCATGAGTGAATGAGTTAGCTAGTAGCTATTTACTATTCTATTTTTTTTTGGGTTTCGCTATAATGGGTATTCCTACTAGGTAATTAGGTTACTGAAAGATAGTAAGATCGGTAGTCGTAACTAACGACTTCAAATATCCATAAGTTCTTGAAAGACTGGAATTGAGATGGAGGAGGTATCTTTAACTTCGACATAAAAAGAGATACCTTGAACGGAATACCTGATTCTAAGATACGATATACATATTGTAAGATTTTACTTTAAACCAAGATTCAAGAACCAGAATTCCAATCTCCAATTTTCAAAACTCCCAACTTCACAACTTATGTTTCCTCCAAGATCCTTCCGCCTAAGTAACAGACTTCTTCATAGTCCCTTTTCCCTTTGACGTATCTGTACTGGAACTACTACTCGTTCTATTCGGACGTTTCTTTTCTCCACTAGAAGCACTGCTATTTCCATTTCTCTTAAGCTCTTCTTCTTTCTTGTTCTCTTTCGCCCAGTGAGCAGCTACATTCTTTCTTATATTTTCTTTCAGCAGCTTCCGTCTCTCTTGTTCCTGTTCTTCCAAATCAGCTTCGATTTTAGTTTTTATACCTTCAAACGTTTTATATAGTTCGGTGAGTTGAGTTCTCTTGGCTTCATTCTCAGCCTTGGCGGCTGCTTTTGCTTTTGGGGTATTGGTTTTATTTTTCAGTTCGGCGACGGCGTCGAGTCGGGTACTGTGGTGGAAGAGTTAGTGCTGGTTTTGTGATGGGGATGGGATGGGGAGATGGCTAGCATGTTAAAACAGTGTGTGTGTGAATAGGGTAAGTTTACCGTCTCTTTTGAGATGGATCTGGACCACTGCCTTGACCACTACCTTGACTAGGCATGATAATGTATTAAGAATAGATGATTAGGTTGTAGAAGTTTAGTTTGATAAAGTGAGGAAGTGAGGAAGTGAGGAAGTGAGTATGTGGTGTGGTGAAATGTAATGTCTTCCTCTTGTGTGGAAGTACGGAATCTTAAATACATTTCCATGGCCTCACCAACTTTTGCATCGGATGAAGAAATTTCTTCAACATGTTATCATGCATTTTTCTGGGCGCGAGCGAGAGGAAATAAGTGGCAGTGGACATGTAGATTATTTGGCTGCGATGGTACAGGTCGACCTTGCGAAATCACCTAGGCCGCAGAACGAATATCGACCAACGGAAAATACATAGCAGTCTGAATCAGAAGTGCAAATCAATAGCTCTTATCAGAAGTCATAGGAAACAATAAGCAAACTTTGTCTTCGGATACTTTTCTCGTCTTCACATTCAAGAGGTCAACCTCGATTTGACCTCCAACTTTGAATCTTTGAATCTTTCGCCAATTGAGATATATCTTCAATCCGGCTGAATCTAACGATGAAAAGAAAATCAATACAGATTATTTATCTAATTCTATATTGATATGAATGCTTTTGGGGGAAGAAATATATCTGGGTGATGATATGGTAGAGAATTCGTGGTTTTGAATAGCTTTGCAATTGACGATTTGATATATGAGATGGTTATCATGGTTAGACGGTGACGCAGAGATGGTAGATCTTAGAGATTTATACCAAGATAATGATCTCAGAGGAAGGAATTAAATGTCATCCACTTGAAGATTGAAGATGATGATGAAGATTGAAGACCAAGATTGAAGACCAAGATTGAAGACCAAGATTGAAGTTTCATCATCAGAGAAAGATGTTACATATAGCAATAGAACCGTTAGAAGAGTTAAATTGATATATCTCTTTGATCCCAACTATTAAATCACTTTGAATTGAAACAAATCTAGAAAAAACTCACTTGAGTTCTGTGAATAAAGTAAATTAGAGAAGAAAAAGAAAAAAGACTCTTTACATAAGAACAAACAACAACATTCATACATGCAGAGATACAGATATTGATTCACAATTACTAATCTCTGGTTGGTTGGGCACAGACTCCATCTTTTGGTAGAGAGAGGTGGATTGATGGTGGGGTGGATGCTGGGCTGGTGGTGAATCTTTATCTGTTTGCTATTCACATTCAATTAATTTCAACCTCTACAAACAAAATCTCTCACCATCTTTTTCTTCTAAATCCTTCATACTTTCTTTCTCTCTATCGTAGATCCTTCTTGAATTTACATTTGATACATCTCCTCTTCGAATCTGTACACTCTCTTACAACCATTCCATTACACAACAGTTTTGCATATTCGGAGAATATCAATCAATACACACACAATCATTCCAATCAATCGCGGGGTACGGAAACAAGAAACATGTCGTCCATCACCCACGAAGCAAGTAACCAGGCTGGTAAGTCGCACTACTTCTTTTGGATTCCCATCTCTAGATCGAAATACCATATGTCTGCAGGACATTTGTGATACACTCTAACGCAAAGCTAATAGAGCCTTCGATTCTTGAAGCTGCCGCTGCACAACAATCATGGTCCGTGGAGAAAGTAGTCAAGGAAGAATTCCCCGTCGTACCAAAAGAGAATTCGCAATCACCTGTACCATTCTTTCACATGCTGGAGAGATTGAAGACGACCAAGCGGGAAGGATGGCGTAGATTTGGTATCGAGAGGTGAGTTGCCCAAACAACTTGTTACATGGGATCGATCAAGCTAATAATCTTTTCAGAGGAGAATCGATTTCCGATCACATGTATCGCATGTCACTCATTACCATGTTCGCACCCAAATCTCTCTCTTCCAAGATCGACATTGCGCACTGTACGAAGATGGCTCTCGTTCACGATATGGCAGAAGCTCTGGTTGGAGATATCACACCCGTTGATAACGTACCCAAGACCGAGAAGAATCGTCGCGAAGCTACCACGATGGATTATTTTACCAAGAATCTCCTCGGTCGTGTGAATGGTGGAGTGACTGGAGAGGAAATCAAGAAAATCTGGCAAGAGTATGAGGATTCGGAGACATTGGAGAGTAAATTTGTCCATGATGTCGACAAGGTAGAATTGATTCTGCAAATGGTGGAATATGAACGTGCGGATAAGAATGGATTGGATTTGGCGGAATTTTCATGGGTTGCCACGAAGATTGTTCTTCCCGAAGTGAAAGCTTGGGCTGATGAAATTTTGGCGGAGAGAGAGGAATTCTGGGCGGGTAGAGAACATAGAGTGTTTGGTGAGCTTCAAAAACCGGATGAGAAGAGAGTGGCTCAACATGATCAATATTATGGAGGAAAGGAGAATAAGGCTGCGGAAGTTTAGACGTAATGCGACGGGTGGATATGGAAAGGATGAATGGCGTTGGGAAGTGGTAGAGATGATAGCTCTTTTGATTGTAATGGATAGTTAGATACCAGATACCCGATGCCCGACACAGATATCAGCATCGATAATAGCTTACTTGAGTAGCAGATTGGGAATTCCCCAGATTTAATAGCAAGTCTGTAGTATTATTTGAGTGTGGACTACGCATACGATTTGTGTTTGGATTGAAATTGATATACTTGAACCAGTTGATGGATATTCTACGAGTATGAGTATTCTAAATGAAACAGTACTATGGAAAAGGATAATAAAGCTTACTAATTCGATATCTATCTAGTATGTAGGTATATATGTATATGTATATATTCGATTTAATAACGTATTTCCAAAATATAACTTTTTTTGATTTAATCAACTTTTTACTAAATCTTGTATTAAAATAATTCAATTGCTTTTAATTCAATCAATATAACTTCAAATTGAAAAAACTCTATATTATAATATAAATCTCAATTAATAAAATCAATAAATAAAATTTGAATACTTTTAATCAAAAATTCATTGAATTAAAAATGATTAAATGAAAATTGAGTTTCGAAAATTCAAAAACCTGAAAACTACTCTAAAAATCATGATTTTATTCAACCACCTCTAATTCTATAAATTTTTGATCAATTCTATTCAAACTTTATTTATAGATTCTATCAATTGAGATCTATATTATAATACTAAGTTTTTTCAATTTAGAGCTATATTGATTGAATTAGATTTTCCGATTTCAAAAATTCGATTAGGTGATATTCGAAAAAGTGCTTTTTTGGGAGAAAATATATTATTAAATTAAGTATATATATAAGGGCGTATCTTTAATAAATATCGAGTTCGTGCGCAAGCACTTTTTATACTAAAATTCACTTAAACTCACCTATTTTAAAATTCAATATTAAATCAATTAATATTATTATATATTTAAAATTTTATAAAAGTAATAAATTCTTATTTAAAATTTAATAATGTAGGTTTAGTTTTTTTATTAAAGTTTTCAATTAAATCAAAATTTATGTTGAATTTTTATGCTTAAAATCTTTATAAGAAATAATATTTATTTTAAGAATCAAATTTCTATATAGAATTTAATTATTAATTCAATTTTAAAATTAATAAATCTAATACCAAATTAACTATTGATCTATTTTTTTTATACAATTCAAATTTTAAAATTTTATAATAAATGTTTGAATTATAATTCATTTATAAATATATAGAATAAAGTATAGTTTTGGTAAGGAAATTTGCTTAAATTTCAGTCCGGTATTTATTAAAGATACGCCCTTATAGAGTGATTATACTAGGTATTATATATCTATCTATATACGAATTATGTATTTTAAATATATTTACCTAGCTTGAATTAGCTATCTAGATACCCAAGTACTTAATATATATATACATAGATATATACCTAGTACATATATACATATATATATATATATTATACTCCTCTTGATTCTTTCCGTTTTATATTCTATCTATTAGATATTCTATCTACTAAGTATCTATCGTAATAAGATATATAAAAGTACCTATCAAGTATTATCTTATGATTTTCATTATATTGTATAGCAAGCTTTCTTTTTCTTTCTATTAACAAGTTTCTTATAAATAGATGAGAATTAATTTTAACGGTGAAATCTATACTGTGTATGAATAAATGAATAAATAAATAAATGAATGAATAAATGAATAAATGTAATAAATAAATAAATTGAAAAAGCGTGATTTGTCAATATTGAATGATTACCTATCTAGTGAGTACTAAAAGTACCTCCCGCATTCATGAAAGAATTATTCACCACGGCAACCATGGTTAGGTTAGCTGTATGTAGCTGTATGTAGGTAGGTCTTGAGACATTGGTCATTGTTTTATACTGTTTGGAGATAGGTACAGTAGGAAGTACAGTAGGAAGTACAGTAGTAACTGTACCTAGGTAGACTGAGGATAAATAAATACCTAGTACTTGACTTATTATGTATGTAGGGTTTGAAAGCTACATACATATGATACAGCTTGGAATAGGAAGTTGGTACGGAGATACTGGTAGATTAACTTAAGATAGATCAAGAGTTGAGAGTTGAGAATTAAGAGTCAAGATTCGATGGGATGGGATTGGAATGGACTGGACTGGATTCACCGCCATCTTTCTATTGACAGAAAAATATTAAATAATTACTGGGGATTTTACAAGTATTCTATTGGGGGTTTTCTCTCTTTTATTTATTTGTTTCTGACTTGCTTTTCTTGATCTCTTTTTGTAAAGAAGAAGATTAAGAAGAATAGAAAGCAAAGAAGAAAAGAGGAAAAGAAATACAGCCCAGAAATACCGCCAGCCCAAAGGACAAGTTTACATCTTCCACGCATTCGGATCCATCTTCTCCATCTTCTCCATTTAATTTCATCTCATTCTGGTCTTTGCTCTTTCGTCGCGGGATAGAGGACATACAAAGTACATACCAAGTACATGCAAAGTACCTACTTCCAATCCACAATACGGAGTCCAGGAACGTTGCGTCTCCATTCATGTACATATACATACATGTGTTGTGGTGTGGTTGATCCTTTGATCCTTTGAAACCGGGACGTGAAAGATTTTTTCGTTTGGATATCTGGGAGGGAGTCTTATCACGAGGTTTGGAATTCACTGGACTGGTATTCTGCGGTACGAACGTTGGTCACAGAGGTGTTGATTGGGAATTTGGAATTCGAAATCGGAATTCGGAATTCAGAATTCAGAATTGATTGAGAGGTATTGATTGATATTGATCTTGATGTTGATCTGATACGGATTGATCTGGATTGACACAAATTGATACCCATTTTAATACTAATCACACAACCTGATAACAATCTCATCACCAATACTAATACCACCGATTGCGATTACGAATTACGAATTGCCATATTTCCTACGCCTCGTTAACATAAAACAAATCTCTCAGCCTCGGGAAGATATCGACAAAAGATACCTACCTAGATAGATCATCATCATCATCATCATCATCATCATCATCATCATCTTCATCATCTGTCCCCGTATAAGCCTTGGAAGCTGTATGATCCATTGGATTTAATAACCTGGAATCTTTTGGGTATTCCACTTCAACTCCCAACATTTTCATCCATCACATTTCTTTCAACAGATCCAGAAAATGTCTTATTTCTTACACTCCCTTCCAGTCGCGGAAAATATGCCGGGTACGTTTGGTCTCGATTCTCCATCGCCTCAACATGACGTACCAATTGCAGGTTCCAAATCAAATATGTATCTTCCGCCCTCAACGCCATCAGCGTCTGCCACTTCGTCTCTCTATCTCTTTGATACACAATCCACCACCAGTACCGATTTGTTAAATGCCGGAGGCACCATGGTCGGAAGAAAGAGAATGAGAGATACGTTACCATTTGAATATGGGTACGAACGAGGAAATCAATTGGATGAGGGCGATTCCAATTTGGTGACGCCAGGAAGTCCCATGCCTTTTGTTAATACCAAATATCGATTGGCAGGAGGGTTAGATACTCCGCAGGCGGAGAGACAAAATCGAGAAATGGGAATGGGAAGAGAGAGTGATTTTGGTGATACCAAATATCGAAGGGAATTAAGTGATGTCAAGGAAACTTTCGAAGCCGAGGGAGAAGGTCAATTGTATCGAGATGAAAATGGAAGACCGAGAATCCGAGGACAACCAAAGGAAGATGAGAAACGTGGATGGATTAAACCTATGGTTAATGTGGTGGGTGGTGTGGTGGGAAAGATGTGGGAATTTTGTAAGATGGGTGTCGCATTTAAAGGATTCCAAGCTGGTGGTGGAAATGGCTATGTTTTTGGATCGACCACTCCCATCGAACCGACATTTATGGATGAACCGAAGAATAACATGTGGGAGGATGAAAAATCTCCTGGTACACCGGTCCCGGGTGGATTTCCGATGGGTGGGATGGTTGAGAATTATATGGATCGAAATTATGTTCCACCACAGGAAGAGACAACTCCTCCGAGACCAGCAAAGAGACGTCAAACGAGTTTTACGGCTCAATCAACTCCAGATGATATGTCCAGAAATTGGGTGGTTGTTCCTCCTCCACAAGTAGTACAACAACCTCAACCTGAATATCAACATACATCTCACCCTGAATATCAACACTCTCAACACTCACCTCAACCCGAATATCAACACACACCTCAACTCGAATATCAACTTAATCAACAATATCCAAAATTACCACCCGTGCCTGCAGATGCATTTGCCATTCCACAATCTCAAGCACCTAAATCTAGATTTTCACAACAGAGAAGTGGAATTGCTCGATATAATATACCTACCACATCGAATTCGACTAGGAGATATTTGGTTCAACCTCAAATCACATCAAGTAATATGGGTGCGACCCGAAGACCAAATTATCAAAGTAATCCTCGAATTTTAAATCCTTCACCTACTCTATCAAATTATGAACGTGGCACCAATTATTCCACTCCCACTCGACCAGGTACTTCTCAAATCCCACGTACAGCTTCACCAGCCGGATCACGCATTCCTCGTTGGACACCGAATAGTCCCAAAACAGGACCTAATTCGAATGAGAGCCCAGCAGCAAGAGAAGCAAAAGCATGGAAGGCGAAACAATTGAAAGAGGAGAGGGAACAGGATGAGATGATGAGGAAGTTTGATAGACAAATGAAGGAATTGATTAGACAGGGGAATATGGCGTTGGGAACGAAGGTGGAGGATATGGAGGTTGATGATGAGGATGTTTACTAGGGTGGGATGGGTGTGAGGGGGTGGAGATGGTAATTTAGAGTGGTGGGGGGTTTGCGTATATGTTGCGAGTGGAGAAAATGGAGATGGGAATATATGGGAAGGAGGCATGCATATGTTTGCGTGGAGAATGAGATTTGCACATACAGATGAAATTGAGAGATGAAAGGCGTTGGGAATTGATGTTGAGCTGGTTCGATCTGGTCTGATCTAATCTGATCTAGACAAATGATCGTGGCATTCGCATATTACGCATAGCACAGATTGCTTGTTTATTTGTTGGCTTGCTCACTTACTTGCTTGCTCATCTCATCCTTTCTAATTCTTTGTTTATATGGAGTTGGATGAATACATTATTCATCAATCATGGTCAGAATTGGGATTAGGATTTGGTAAACGGCGTTTCTTTCGGACTTTGTTTCTAGCTTGCTTTGCTTTACTTTACTCTGGCTGGATTATCTGGTTTGGTTTGGGTTGGTTTAGTTTGGGTTAGTTGGGATTAAGTGCGTGTTTGCTTGGAGCGAATTTAACGATGAGATGATTTTATTTTATTTGGTTTGGTTTGGTTTGATGAGGAGATGAGGAGATGAGGAGATGAGGATGGGGGAGAGAAGGGGAGAGAAGGGGAGAGATGGGGATTGTAGAGATGGGGGGTGTTTTGATTTGTTTTCTTTTGCTTCTTTGAGAGATGGGGATTGGGAGATACCATGGTTGTTGCTTTTTTCTTTCTGAGAGGATCGAAGACGAATGAAATGGAATGGAATGGAATGGAATGGGGAAAGATGATGGGGAAAGGTGAAAGGCAGAGGGGGAGATTGTATTTAATGTAGATGGTGGATGATAGTTAGTGGATGATATGTAGGGGAGGAGAGGTGAAAAGTGAGATAGAGGGGGGGAGGAAGAATAATAGGGAGAAGAATGATATAGGTAGGATACGATGGGATTGATTTGAGTTCGATGGGTTGGATTGGGTTAGGGATAGGTTGGGAAAATTAGGATAATGAATAAATAAATAAATGAATATCAAAATCATAATCGAAATGGGATGAAATGAGATGATATATGAGTAGAGTTGAAGAGTGAAATAAATAAAGATCTCTATCGTCTTTTCGCCTATTATATCTCAAGATCTATGATCTGCGATATGCGATATGCGATATGCGATATGCGATATGCGATATATAATAAAGTATCGAATCTCGTTACTCGTGCTGCCAGAAAGTATACAACTCCGACGCTAGATGTACATACCACAAGATGGTAAACTACAAGAGGACTAATCTGGTTTTCATAGCGCCGGAGTTGCATACTTTCTGGCAGCACGAGTACGATTTGTCCTAAAAGACTTCATACTATACAACACCATACATGATGTATGGGCGAATTATATAATTTGGGGGTCGATTATATAATTTTATATTATAATGCTTTTTGAGGCATATAAAATATTATGCCAAGCTTATACACGTGTTTTTCGGGCTAATAAAACCATTAGGATGAATGAAAGTAGGTCGTTTTTGGAAAAGTTTTTGATGG